AAATCTGATAATATCGGAGGAGATTTTGTCACATTTCTTATCATTTTTAATTTTGAGACCTGAATGCCTCAACCAGGCATGTATTTATTCTAACAAGAGAACATTAGACATGTCAGAGTTTCCCTCAGTGTATTATAAGCCTGGTGGGTCACCAGGTTGTACATATGGCCTCCAACAGGCTTAACATTGTTCATTTATTAGTTTTTTTATTTTATTTTGTGATTGCCTTTTTTAAGACTTTAGAGTTGCTGTTTTGGTATCTTCAAATCTTCCCAAAAAATGCATAAATTTCAAATTTCCTATCAACTTTAGACATTTTTAACTCAAAAACACGGCGGGCCGCTGGATGAATGGCCTCGCGCCCTGAGCACCAGGCGTGGCAAGTTTTCTGGGGGAACACCGACATGTCATTTACCTGACCGTGTTTCCCTCTCCCTGCAGCTCACCTGCAGCTCTTGCTCGAGGCTCAGCTGGAGCTCTTCCTTCTGACGCAGCCGCTCCTCCAGCGCAGCTCGTTCTCCCGTGTAGCCATCTATGAGACCTGCAAGAGAAGTACGCTTAGAAAGAAAGCAGCAACTCATACACGTCTGCTCTTTTCTTTGTTACAAACACTCAACAGAAGCATTTGTTGAGTGAATTTTCATTAGCTCCCCTCCAAAAACACAAAATCTTACCAAGTAATTTTGGTTTAATTTCAAGTGCAAATATCTTAAGACAAAACTAACTGACAAGTAACTTTTTAGCAAGATATAGAAGTTTGTTATAAGTGAATAATGTAACTTAAAACAAGTTAAAATATCTGCCAATAAAACAAGTACTATTTCATCAATATTAAGGAATTATTTACTTAAAACAAGCTTCTATATTTTGCTAAAAAATCACTTTTAAGTTAGTTTTGTCTTATTTCAAGTGTACCAAGATGTTTGCACAAGAAACTATACCAAAATTACTTGGTAAGAGTTTGTGTTTTTACAGCGAAACATTTTCTGGAAACTTTGTGCTACAAACCTGATAGAATACAAATGATTTTTAAACCGAATAAAATTAAAATTCTTCAAAATTGTTTCAACTTGTAGATTTTTTTTACCTAGATACACCATTCCAACTTTAACAGGTCACAAAACCAATTCTAATAAATTTTTTTCTCGTCTTTTACTCGCTTGTAAAATCATATTTTTAGTTTTAAGTATAAAACTGATAGCAGTTATACAGTTCCATAAAATATACTGCCTGCCATCACACCTCAGTTTTCATGAGTATGAACAGGACAAAAGATTTATGCAAAGTTTGCCTTGGGAGGGATCTGTCAGGTGTCCGATGCAAGTAATTCAAGACTAAAAACAACATCATCCATCAGGTGCAGAGAGCGGCGTAGAAAAACTACAAATGTATAGTTAAGTTACCAGCCAGAGTATCTGATTATCTGGTGCTTTAATCAGGTCGTGTTTGTGACATTTAAGATGTTCCATCTGTAAGAATGAATATTCTCTTTCAGTTTAAAGCTCAAAACCAGTTTGAAAATGCCACACCCTGGAGTTTTAACTTGATCTTCCAGCACAATAGAGCAGATATTTCTCTTTCAGATCACTGTGCAACAAGCCCAGAGGAAACGCAGCACTCCTAACTAATTAATGGAGCATCAAAGGTCCACGTTCAGACCAGTTTTTATTTCACTTTAACATTACATGGGTGCAGCTTTGTTCAAGGAGCACAGTGCAACTTTATCCACAAAAACACCAAAGTGATCCTTCACAACACTGCTCTAATACAAATCAAATATTTTCAACAAAAGCCACAACCTTCTACTTTTTTTGAACGGCTTTCTGTTTGATTTTATGACAGAGGTGCTCCTCTACAAGAGTAAACAGAGAAACAGGATCCCAGTATTATAAAGAACAAGCTAAGATTAGGAAGAGCCATAAAGTGACTGCTGCCAAGTCTGTCTGCAAAGCGAAAGAGAAGCAAATATTCTTGATCTGTGGGATTAACAGCATGTAAAAACCAAAGAAAAAAGGGTCTGAAATTGATCTGGTGCAGCTGATCAATTTCAGACCAGCTGCTGCATACTTAGTTCCAAATTCATAGTTAACTTTGAAAAATTTAGATTCAAATTCTGCATTATTTCTTAAGAGTTAACTTTTCTAAAGTGGATTAAAAACAACAATAACCAATGGAAAAGGGATAAAAAAAAGCTAAAAAATCCAAATGAATCTGATCATATAAGACATTTTATTATTTTTATGATAGTGCATTCCTGTAATTTATCCAAATATGCAATGGCAAAGAAAATAAAGCAAAGGGAAGGGATGAAACTCCAATGAGTGAGTAAGAAATTAACTGTTAGCCTTGGGAGCTGAGTATTCCTCATGCTTGATTCAAACCGTTCTCCTCAGTAAAAGTTGGTTGTTATTTCAGATAGAACAGAGTCGAACCTTCAGCACGGTGGAGTTCCAGAGCCAGCTGCTCCCGGGCTCGGGCCTCCTCCATCGCCCTCTCCTGCAGCTCCTCCTGCTTCTGCAGCAGCTCTGTGATCTCCTGGTTGTGGCGGAAGGACTCCCGCATCAGCTCAGTCTGGGTCATCCGGGCGTGATCCAGCTGCAGCGAGAGACGGAGGACAGAGTGTCACACAACACGGGAATTTAAAGACCACAAATTAAAATTGATTTATCCTTGAAACTGCCACCAGTCAATTTAATTCTATAGTTAGGGTTCATTAATATTTAATCGATTATTGCAGATATTCCCATCACCTGACATCTATTCAAGTCATTTCCATTCAAAGTGTGCAAGTATAAAATATGTAAAATGCAAACTGAGGTCCAGCACATAATGATTAACGCAGAACGGCAGAAATAGCAGCAGGTGATAAAACAAATGATCGACTGTAAACGAAGCAGTAATGATTCAAACAACCTTTACAAGTTAATGTAAAAAACTCATTTAGAGTCACCAGTAAATATCTACTACAGGAGATTTGTTGCCATTTTTAAAGAACCACCATTTTACCTACAATTTCTAATATTTAAACGAAGCTAGAGATAGGCACCAGCAAGATGGATGGATTTTTTTTTCTGTGCAGCAGAAAATTATGTAAAATAAAACAACCACCAGATTTCAACTTAAAAATAGATCTGAAAGCATAATGTGAGTACTTCCACTGTCAATACAAATATTGTAGGAATACACCAATAACTGTATTTTTTTTATTGCATCTAAATTTAGAAACTATTTTTAATATTTAACAAAGAGTCGTTGTGGACGGCCCAAAGAGCCAACCACGGCTCCAGAAGAAAACATTGTTTTCCAATGTTTTTGATAATCATCAGCTTTGTGTTTATTTTTGCTTAATTAAATCACTAGAAAAAGTTAATTGTAATTCCACTCTTTGTTTCTCAGTTCCAGTAGATCTGCCTCATCCTTAATTAAGCTGATTTGTTTTACTTTTATTGTTTGTCCAAAATTAATCTTTTCAACCGATCTGTTTATTGGACTCCCGTTCCCTCATTTGCGAACTAATCCGTCGAAGAAATATGCATTGATATAGACATGCAATCAAAGTCATTATACCCATAAAGATAGTAATTTAAGATACATCAACTAATTTTTTTTTTTTTGCGTTTTAACTGTGAAGGTTTTGTAAACATTTTATTCTCATCTTTAAAAAAAACAATTTCATCAAAAATTACATTTGTGACAGAATGGATAGTAGAAATGATTACACCCCCTCCTGTTTTCTTACTTTATTTAACGACTGTTGACTTTACTCTTAAGCTGCACTTACTTGACCTGAGATGCATTAAACTGCAGTTACAGCAGTTCACCACTAATTGGCACATAGAGCGCGGTGAGCACTGCTGACTCGGCGCAGTAAGGCTGGTCACTGCTGCTCTTGTATGTTAACAGGTAAATATCAGTTAGCGCTGCTATTGATCTAGATTGTCTCTTATAGAGGAAGGAAGTAAGATATTTGTGTGAAAGTTTTGAATGAGTAATTGTTTGACCTAAATTGTAAATATTTAATTATGAAGCGAGCCAACGGCAACTTAGCGCAATAACGGCTGGTCAGCGGAGGCGCTCACTGTCACTCTTGTATGTTAACAGAGTTCATCAAATAAAACAACCTGCGAAAACCACACTGATGAATCATTAAGTGGGCAACATATCACCATCACAAACTTTTTTGTTTGTGATGGCAAAGCTGTTTTGGTCTCATGATAATCAAGATAGCACTGCCACAAACAAAAACGCAAATCGTTTTACAAACTACAACAAACCCAGCTTATGTGCTGTTTAACAGCTTTGCAGTCGAATATTTTAACCATATCTGCACCATAAAACCTGCCAGTCAGGTGACAGAAGCAACGTTTCTCCTGATAAAAATACCTGGAAAACATTGTATTTAACCGGTATAAACCGCCTGCGCACTCATTTTCCATAGATTTTCATATCTGCCTGAGCAAAGGTCTCATTGTGATGATGTGGGAACTGGGAAGCGGTAATGTGAACCTGCCACAGAGGAGAAGTCATACGATCTTTCACCAAATGAATCAAGAGAGCTGCTGAGCGCCGACATGGAGATACATTTATCTTACATCACAGCTATGTGCATGTTTGGACCTGAGCTGCAGAAAATGGGCCATGAAATGAACCTATGAAACATTCATCCTCACTCGCTGGTTTGAAAAAATGCACAATCCCTTAACTCACTTATAATTTAACGCAGCAGACTGGTGGTAAACTTACTGTATATGGAGGAGTGGGGAGGGAGATTTTAGATATGACTTTAAGAAGGTGACCATTAGTCCTGTGGTTGACATGTGAGATCTGAGTCTGGACCACCACGGCGTTTTTCGTGTTCAAGGTGCTGCACAGCGGGAAGGGTCGAGGAAGGGGTATGCGGGATTCCACCTCGTACACATCTTGGTCCTCCCCCTCCAGCCACGTGCTTCTCTGCATGCTCGAGTTCCAGTAGGAGCGATAGGAATCCATGACGGGCAAAACTTCCAGCCTTTCGCTTTCCTACCCGGACTCATGAAAAAGGAGTTTCCGTCCGATGTGATCCGTCGGGCTCAGCCGGTTCGCTGCGAATGGGGAATAAAGTCCAGCGGGAGATGTGTTGTGGAAAGCTCCAAGCAACTGTCTCTATGTGTTTTGCACACACATGCAGGAAGAGTAAACATCGTTTGGAGAAGGTGACATTCACGTCATCTCAATCGCGTCAGGTGAGCGTTGAGAATAAAAATCCTTCAGGAAAAGGCAGATCTTTTATAGTCCTGCAATAAAGTGTCATCCTCAGCAGCAGGGTGAAGTCCGATCCAGGTCCGGACGGGTAAAATCCACTCCTGAACACGGCTGAAGGCAGGTAAACGAAAAGCAAAGCATTTCTTCCCTTCACCGCTCCTCGCTGCTTGTCGTCGCTGACCTTCTTTCCTCAGAGTGAAACCATATTATGCCGCTCAGTAAAACTCACACCCCCCTCTGCTCTCCGCTCTCTCTGCTTTCTCTCTCGCTCTCTGGAGATTCATTAACAATACCGTGACGCGGCAGCAGCCCCGACCTGTATGGGAGCCTCCCAGGGGCCCCTTCTAATTGACCGGCCCAGGCGTCAACCGGGTGAAAGCGTAATGACAGCGCTCAGATCGGAAAGTCACTCTCTCTAGCCTGCCTCCCTACTTCCTTCAAAGATTCCTTGCATTACCAATCAACACAACCAGCAAGTTCACCAGAATGTTTCTGCTTAAAGATTAAAAACCACGTAGCTGTGAGAAGAGACGGCGTTTTCCTACTTCCTACTCTAAAACACACAGCAGGAAAAGTGGGAGGAGAAATCAGGTGTGGCTTCAACCCTTCTTAAGACCAGCAGACCGGGTAGATTTGCAAACAGATCGAGCTCACAAATAACCAGACAGCACACGCCCATTTCACAGAAAGTTGTCCTACCAGATTTTCTTCCCTCTGAAGCAGCAAAAAAAAAAAACAACAAAAAAAAAACAAACAAACAACAATTTAAGACGATTAGAGCCACTGTTCTGCTTCGTCTAACAAACTATTTCAATCTCGCCCAGGCAGGAAACAGCGGTGAACAGTCGTGAAAACAAACACCTGCCAAAGGGCAAATAATTTACAAGCCATGGCTCAACAAAGACATTTAACATTCTTGATTGGGCTTGTTGTATGTCTCTGTTAATGACTTGGTGAGTCAACAAACAGACAAGACTAATGTACAGCAGATCAATACCAGAGAAATCAATGAAGGAACCATTAGAGGCGCCGTTGATTAGACGTTTGTTGTCCCATCAGTGATGTTCGCTTAAAGATTTGTTAGACGTAACCTAAAATGAGGAGCTCATATTTTAAAGAAATAACAAATGATTTCAGAATTTATTAAATTCAGAGATTTTAGGGATCTTCATAAGCTGTTAATTTTTGTGGAAAATAAATATTTCCATGTCGGAGTTATCCGGAATTTTTTATATTCTACAAGAACAGCAAGAAATGAAATAAAATACACCAAGAAATCTCTGTGCCCTCAAACAAATCAAATTTGACCTTTAACCTTCAAGAACTGTTACTCCTAGTCTCTCCAAAATATAATGCTGGAGAAACACAGACTATATCCTCTTATTCCACATGGTGTCCAAATTTCAATGCTTTAAATTATTTTCAGTTGCAGCCTATACTTATATAGGCAATAAGCTGTCATGATAAATTTTGCTGGATGATAAATTGTTCCAGTAGTTATTGCGATAAACGATAAAATTGTTGTTTTGACACCATTTTTAAGTAATATGATGGTAACGGCGAAATGATCCAAGAACATGTTCTAAAAGATCTGTAAACTTTCAATTCTAATGAACTTTTAACACTAAAACTGGAAGACATTATAAATATGCAAAATAATCAAACAAATAAAATTAATTTTGAAGTCTTTGTAAACAAAACTGTCCTTCAAAATAAAGGTTAGTTGGGACCAAAACATTAAACTGAAAACTTTTATCATTCAGTTTTTGGTAGAAAGATAGAAAAAAAGAGATAGATAATAAATTACAGCAATTGAAATTATTGAGTTTGTTTGAATTTATTATGCGATTAATTGATTAATTAATTGATTATTGTGAGATGCCTAGTTATAAACCCAGAATGCATTATTTAAATACTTAAATAATGCATTTGTTACATTTTCAGCTGTTCAAAGGAATAAAAACGTTCACCTCTTCGTCTGTGGTGGCGCTGCACCAAGAACTACTGAAGGAAACAACACAGAAACCTCTGAAGAAGACACTGAGCGCAAATGTAATAAAGATGAAGTGGTGTCACGTTGTAGAAATTCTCTTTTGTCCTTAGTAAAAGTCTTCAAACCATTTCTCCCGTTAGCGCTCAACTCACTTGTTTGTTTTGGTTGCATTTACCCAGAATGCCCTGCGTTGTGGTCTGCTTCCTGGTTTTGGAGCGGACTCCGGTCCGGTTGGCACTCACATACGCTTTCGGACTAAAGCAGCGTTTGATTTTTCAGTTGAAATTGAGCCGGACTTTCTAGGCACACAAACTAGTTTTTGATTAAAGCAGACTAAACATAGATGGTGTGAATGGACTATCTAGTAAACAGATATTAGTTTGATTAGATTAAAGCCTGGTATTGCTGATTTGTCTTATTACTCGTGCTTCACCAAGATGACTACAAACATGTTCTGATAAATTTAGAAAATAAATCCTTTACTTCGATGTTAAAGACACCTAAAGAGCAATAATGCTTTTCCTCCCATCTTTGGAGCTATTTTTAGACCACCAAGACAGAGCCCATTTCAGCATGAATAACGCATGAATTCCAGCCAGAGGGAAAGATGAGTTGTGCAGCCAGTTACTGTAACACGCTCAATGGCCTAGTTAAGCTGGCCCCATCTCTGCGAGCTGACACGGGACGCAGCGGGAGCGCTGCACGGACACCCTGCGGGGGTGGAGCCGCTCTGCGAGTCTGGACCAGGATAGGCTGCTTGGCCAATACAAAAAGCTCTGTGTAAATACGGCTCGTATCTACAGGCAACCAGAGGGAATGAGGCAGCTCTTTTGTGTGTGAATTCTGGACACATTCTGCCGTCTCATCCCCATTATGTCTCCAAATGAACAGGCGCACAAACCCACGGGTGGGGGGTCAGCAGCGTTTAGAGGTCTTTAAAATGTTTTGAAAGCCTGAAAGTGCCACTGGAGTTTTCTGTTTAAAGACACAAACACAAGAACATACAAGGAGAAACTTGTAGCAGTTTGTTTCTTTGGGGTTCTGTGCTGTTAATGAAATCTTTTACAATTATTATGAACAGCTCAGGCGGAGAAATGTTAATGTGAATGAACAGAAACTAGAAGTCATTCTGCCTTCTCACATCATATGAGTCACACAGGTGAGATGACAGACTGTGTGCTCTCAAAGCATGCAGCTGGTGCTGTGGAATCAAAGGGAATAACAACCATTCCCTTATATATACATTTAAAATATGTGTGAAAATAACCCCAAATTAAGCTCCTTATTTGTCTCTATCCTCTTCTTTCTCAGCGCTTATCTAATTATTCAGTAATAACACTGAATTCTGGCACCATTGTTGGCCTCATACCTGGTTAGTTGTGTCTGTTATGGTCATCAACATCTTCTCCACAGCTGCCTGAAGTCGTCTACTGATGCCCAGGAAATATTCCTCGCTCTCAAGCTGTGATTCTGCCCCAAGGAGCAGCCGGTCCATCATCTCGTGGCGAATATCCAGAACCTCTTCAGCCTCCAACTTACCAGACCAGAACCTGATGTCAGCACCAACTTTTCTGCTCTGGCGAGTTTCTGTGGGGTCAGACAGAAAAATGTATATGAATGTATGCATATTATGACTCTCTTAAGGTCTTCTTGCAGAGGTGAGCATCATATTAACAAAAGCACAACGACAATTACGTAAAAGCTATGAAATACCGATTTCACAACAATTATGTACAGCTCATAAACCGGACTGACCAGAATGCAAATGGATGTTAATCATTACTTCAAAGGGAGAAGGAGAATACATCAACAGCAGACACACTTTGGCGGGTAATGAAATAAACCTCGAGCTGTTAAGTTTCTTATTTTCATAAAACCTCCCAGCAAGGGCTTAATGTTTAGCAGCTAAACTGCACAGGCTATAAGTTTCGAGAAAACAGCTGGACCACTAAAAAATGATGATTTCAGGATATAATGGTTGGCTTCTGCAGGCAGAACATAAAACTCATGAGATTTATAATCGTTTTAACTATTACAAATATAAATCACCAAAAAAGTTTAAGTGTTTAAAACATTTATGAGTTGTTGTTGCACAAGCACCAAGTTAAAAGGCTTATTATGCATTTCATGTTTTGTTTAAACTGGAAAATATCTGATGAACCATATCTTAAATGTATTTCCATAAAAACGCAGATTAGATTAACGGTGGCTGTGCTGCACATATAAATGCTGACATATAATCCAAGAAACGACAAACTTAATTTGCATTTATGTGATAAAACCAGCCATGACATGTTTTAATTCACCAGTGACTAAATGTCAATGCTCATACATTCAGTACTGTGGAAAAAACAAGATTTTAGTGGTACAGGAGACCAATAAATATTTCAAGGGTTAAATCATCTACTACTACCTTTTCAAGTACCCATATATTTTTAATTACTGTAGGCACAGAATAATAGAGATTAAAACAAAATAACTCCTGTTGAACTCACACAAATGATCCGGACTTATTTTACAAGACATTTATATAAAAAAAACTATTTTAGCATCCAGGAACAATAAATTACTAATTAAAAATTTGTTAATTTTATAAATGAGACACTGTTTTTAAATTTTATGCTACAATTTATCTGTTCTGCATCTTATTTGCATTTCAGGGAATAAACAATAAAATTATGTGTGTTCTGTCATGTAGAAATCAGAAAGGAAATACAAAATCCTAGATAAACCATCAAGTACACAAAGTAACATTGGAAACAACGTTGCTTAGATTCCAGTAACAGTTGACAGCAACATGTTAGTTTGACCTCAGTAGCTGCTATAATTAACTTAAGTGCAACTTCCAACATTTTACTAGTTTGTGGTTTAGATCATGTTTCCTCTCACAACCTAAACATATTTGGTCTTACGACAAAATGATATACACTTGAATGAATCTGTCTGTTTAAGCGAGGCTGTTAAAATGTGCAACAAATGAACATTTTAGAGTAAACGCAGGTCTGGTACATATCCAGACATCCAGAAGACGTTAACTTTAACTGTTTAACCAAGAGTTAACTCAAGTGTTTCGTAAAGCATGATGCTACTCGCCTGGATTATCACTCTGGTAGGTTTGTGTCTGTGTGTTCGACTCGGTAGGCTGCACTCCAGCTGAACCTTCACACAATCTTTGCATGTGGAGACCTAAAGTTTCCTCAGCTGCAGCAGTCGTCTTCAGGACGTCTACAAGCACTTGGCTGAGCTTCCTGTTGGCTTCACTCAGCAACTTTCTAAAAATTGAGGGAATAAAATGCATGTTAGCGAGTTGATCAAAACTTTATTATATGGTCCACCATATTAATTGTGCAAAACCTCTTTCAGAATGTTTTGTTTAATTACAGTTGTACCTTTCAGTTTCTTTATCTGAAGACTCTCCATCATCCTGCCTTGATATTTTGAGTTCTTCATCTACAGTTGTGTGAGGTGAATCTTCCTCCTCTTCCTCATCTTGCTCCTCACCATCGTCTTTCTTCTTCAAGGCCTGAATGGGCAGCAGAGAGAAAATAGACAGCAGCCCCGTCATTTCAAACTTCCAGCCAAATAGACAGGCTGCTGAAAACTAAATTGCACTGGACACTGCAACATTGCGCGTGCAAACAGTAGGAAAAGTACATTCAAATAAGCCAGAGCCATGCATATGTAGAAACACTGCCTGTTTATGAACACAAAGACACAATTTAACTCCCTCAGGGCCCAGAGAAACACTAGTATCTTTGTGCTGCTATGGCAACAGGTGCACCTGAAGGAGACAGATGGGAACAGACAAGAGCTCCCCCCAGTGGAAAAGCAGCCGTAGTGCATCTTATTCTGCACTGAGAAGATCTGGATCATGCATTTTATATCATGTTAGGTCTGAGTTTTTAGGATGAAAATACCCAAAACTGTTCCTGAACACTGAAATATTCTATTTTTATGGTTGTTATTTACCAGAACTTAATTCACAGGAGTTCATTTTACAAAAAAATGGTAAATATTAAAGAAGTAAATGCAACAATTAAGTAAAAATGTGCTTTAATTTAAATATAATCTAACGGAGTCATTTAAACTGAAAACAAGACTAAGAAATTACATTATTTTGTGTAAAAGCAAACATTAAAATTGATTCTTTTACAAATTTATGAAGAAGCATTTTGAACCGATGTAAAACCTAAAACACTGCCTTTTATGAAACAACACATTTAGATAAAGGTGAACTGACCTGCTCAAGTTCAGTTTTCTGCAGCTCCTCCTTCAGTTTTCTGATCTCAGCGTTCCTCTCTTCCACTTCCCGTTCCAGTTTCTCTCTCTCTGGTTCCCCTAACCAGACACCTGCAGGCGGGGAAGCCCTGGGAGTCTGCTCCTCCATCTCCCCGTCGACGTCCTCGTCGTCCATCTGGGTCTGCATGGAGCTGTTCGTCTGGCCAGCTTGTCTCCGGATCCGAGCCAGCTCAGTCTGCTGTGCGAACTCCACGGACATCTGGACTATGGCCTGTCAAGAACCAGGGAACAAAATATGACCTTCAGTTTTTATTTGTGTGATTGAAACAAACAGAGGTTAACAATGGCTGAAAAAATGTTTTGGCTGCTTCTTTTGTTGCTGTGGCCCAGTACAGTAAATCTAAAAAAATCAAGAACAAGTATGTTTATGCAGCTTGAGTTATAGAGATACTCTCTCATTATTCCAATAAAACTTTTGCAGGGTAGATACAAAATTTGTATTAAAACGAGAGCTGGGCAATGAGGCTTAAAAATAAAATCTTAGATTTTTTTTCCAAAAAGGAAATTACAAATGAAAATATTCTCCAAAAGTGTTTTTTATTTCCTTTGAGAGTTGTATCATGGAGTATTGGGGCCAGGCTACAATAATTTTTGATTAATTAAAAAGAAAAAATAGACAATTTTACCAGAAAAATGTCTCAAAAATAATGAGAAAAGGTCATTTTAATTTGAGAAAAGCTTTGATACGCTAAGCTGGATCAGATGTGACCAGCCCTGGTTGGGTATTTTTCTTCAAAATAGACATTCGTTTGCATGAACATTTCAAAGTTTTGCTAATGACAATAATTCTATGTTGATGTGTTAAAAGATTAAATATTTATATTTAGCATTTCCTGTCAAACCTACACCAAACTTCACAAAATGCTCAATATTCCTCATTTTAATTTTTAGTTGTGTTGGATTTCTCATAAGACTATGACCTTATTCTCACTGCATCTGCATTTTTTTGATATTATAACTGTATTGTTGTGAATAAAAGAAAACGAGTCATAGCCTGGCCCTACTACTCCACCACAGAATTGACCTGAATTCAAAGTCCAAATAAACAGAAAGAAGATAATGTCACTTTGAATATGGAAATCCAAAAACTAAACCTTAAAAACTAAAAAAGTACATTAAATAATAAAACTGATTTATTGCCAGCCCTAATTAAAACCTAACATATTATGTTACTACCTTTGCTACTTCCTCCTCCACCCTCTCCTGCTGCAGTCTGTCCTCCTGTCCAGCGGCGCCGAGGCTCTCCGTCGAGCTTCCGGCTCCGTTCACACCGTTACGATCCAGTTTTCTCTCTCCTCTGCCTCCCCAGTGTTCCCTTTCTTCTCTCAACCTTCGCAGCTCAATGCTGTGCTGCTCTTTGAGAGCTGCCACCTCTTGGTCGTACTTGTGGTGTAAAGCTTTCTTAAGCGCCTGCAGCTGCGGCGTCAGGCTAGACGGCCTGGCAGAACGGCGCACACCTTCGTCTCGCTCTGAAACATCTTTTTCACTCCGCTCCTGAGGAGAGATGGGAAAAATAACAATTAATGTACTGGTAGCAGCAGATTCATTCCCCACTTGAGCCAAAACAGTTAGTCACAATTGATAAATATTGTAGTTTGATCTCCAGGCTTCCGGAAATAATAAAAAGCTAAATTTTGGATCAACACGTCAGCTCTCAATCTCGTAATTTAGTCACTTACTTCAATTTTAAGGTTAAACTTCTAGAAAATATCCTCCTATTATCTGCTCTACAGCATTTCAAATGTTTTTGTTTTCCGTTCATCTTCATCTCTCTTCTGTCTTTCCCTCTAAACTCTGTGCAGATATGAGAGCTTTAAAATATAAGCTGTCGGATGAAAGGACTGGCTAAATGACAGCCTAGGAGAGGGGATAGAAGTTAGAGCGTTAGCTTAAATGGAGCGCAGCTCACTCACGCAAGACAGAATCCTCCTTTCATGCAACCTCCAAGACTAGAATAAGTCCGCCTGATCGGGACAGCGTTATATAATGTCTGATCCTTTAAATCATTAGATATAGGTCCACTCATGAGGTCGCCTGTGGCGTTTCAGTGGGATGTGGATTTAGGGCGAATTTTAGCCAAAGGGCTGCAACTCCTCCCTCACCATCAACCCGTAGCTGTCAAAGCATCTTAACGCGTCTTCAGTTTGTAATAGAAGTTGATGCATGAGGCTTAGGAGGAGGTAAACTGTAAGAACCAGACCTTTGGTTCCTCCGTCCCCTCGCAGTCGATTTCTGGAGTGCTGGACAAGCTGCAAAACAAAGAGCACAGCAATCATCATTCATTTCTGAAATTTACAACATTTGCTAAGGTGTTAAACATGCAGTTATTTCAGGAGATAAAGGTTTTTATGAAACAAATAGAATAAAAAATTGCTATCAAGGTTCTTTCACAGATTTATTTCCAAATTCAGAACTTTCCTAGACTAAAATTTTCACACTTCTTAAGTTGCTTCAAAACATAAACAGCAAAATATCCATGTACTTCATATCACTTATTTCTATTTATATCAGGCCTTGCATATGAAACCAAATGTATATTCTTGATAAAATGCTGAAGTTCTCAAATTTTTTACTATATCTAAAGTATAACTACAAAAGTTCTACTACCATTTATGCTATTGGCTGAATTTAAAACTGAACCTCAACAAACCATAAACTGAAGGAATGAATGGAAATAATAAGAAATCAAGTATTTATACAAAAAATATATTTCACATTCATTTCTACTGAGTATATTAGAATAGTAGATTATAAGTCACAATACATAAAACTGGGGTTTTATGTATTACTTTAGTGAGGTATGATAAGCCAGTAAAAGAAAATAATACTTAATATTTTCTAGTTATAAAATCAAACAGTGGAGGGCAGCAGGGAACCACAGTAAGACAGTAAATTCTGTGACGATGTGAACAACCTGTGGATCTTAATCATATTTATTATAAATTAGGAAGAAATAATGTTTTTTAACTGCTAAACTAGTTTAGCAGTTAACCTGTTTTTATGCACAATGTTTATAAAATTATCACAACAGAATGGCGTTAATAATTTAGATTTGAACAGTGTTCAAATAAGATCTGCCTCCATCGGCACGCTCAGCTTTTTTTACTTTAATCTGTCATCTTTTTCTTTTTCTCACATTTTAACACTTTCAACTTGGATCACAAAGTTATCTGAAGACATTTAAGAGGCTTTTAGAGGTTTGTGTATGAATAAAAGCTACAATGAATGCTTTGTAGCTGGACTCTTGACTTGCGTTAAATAGGTCAGATACCTTTCTATCGCAGAAGCATCTGTTTGAAATTGGGACCTCCTTTTATAGTTCTCTAAATGTCATCAATCAATCAAGCTCAAGCTTTAAAAGCAGCTCCCGAAATGAGGTGGTAAAAGCTAAGAAAACGTAACCCGAGACTGCAGATTTTTACAAAAATACTTATTGATTTTTTAAAATTCTTTTTAGAAACATTTCGCAGCTAAAATAAAAACGAAAACATGAGATTAGATTTAAAAATGCACCAACTTTTATAACATAAGCTATTCTACCAAACTAACATTTGGAGAATACATGTCTGTGGGCAATAAATAGGAGACTGAATGTTTTTGTTTGATCACCTGTAGTAAGTCTGGGCTCCTGTGGCTTCCTGCAGTCGCTGCTGCAACACAAACAGCTCTGTAGCATAGCGCTCCTCCGTGTCTGCGGCCTGCTGCTGGTAGTGAGCCCTGAGGCGCTCCATTTCCTGTCGATGGCTCTCCTCCAGCCGGAGCTGCTTCACCTGAGCCTCTGCCTTCAGCCTCTGGAGCTCCACTGTCATTGAGTCTGATTCCCTGGCCTGCTCCCCCACATCTAAAAACGTGAAAATAACTCTGTGGTTTTTACACAGCTAGATAAATACAGATTAAGTATGAAAAAAATTTAATTAATAAGAAATAAAAAGGAAAAGGAAATAAAAGTAGCAAATAAATAGATAAAATAAGAAGTAGCATTTGAAATTTGCTAATCTTAACAGAATCTGTGGTGAAAAATGAACTAGTGAGCAGTGCTTTAAAAAACATTATCTTGAAGAAGCTCAAGGTCTGCAGCACTTAAAACAAGACAGTAAGGAATTGAGGTTTTTCTTTTAACAGCAAAAAAGAAGAATAAAACTGAGAGAATGGCACATCTGTGCTTATTTCCAGCTGCACTGAGCTGAAAATCTGAGTTTTTGGTACATGGTAAATCCACCTGGGTCATTGCTGTACTAGCGGCTGAATCTATATCCACTCTGGATTAGATCACAAGTGTCAAACTCCAGTCCTGGAGGGTGACTACCCTGAAACTTTTAGCTGTGCCTTTGCTGCGCCACACCTGAATAGAATAATTAGGTCATTAGCAAGGCTCTGGAGAACTGATCTACACAAGGAAGAGGTAATTAAGCCATTTCATTCCAGTGTTTTGTACTGTGGCACATCTAAAAACTGCAGGACAGTGTCTCTTCAGGACTGGAGTTTGACACCCCTTCTTTAGATTAAAAGTTCAGAGACTTGATTTATACTGTAAAATTAAATAATAATAAAAATCTATCAATGTTAAATGTCAAAAACAGAAAGTAGACAGAGATGCTGTCAGACAAACTTATTATTTACCAATAAAAAAAGTATTCAATTATGACAGTTTAACCAACTCACATTTAAAACTTTTAGAACACTTTTTAAGACAATTATGTATAGAATTTAAGACCCATAGAGCCACAAAAATGTATGAACTTCATCCAGCCAATTAGCTATAAATTGGCACTTACCAATGAAGGACCCGATTGGCAAGCTAGCAAGCTAGCACCGGTATATTAGCAGATAGTCAGACATTATTTCTGTATAATTAGAAATGTATATTATACAAATAATAAATACACATATATAATTACTTTAAATCATTATTTACAGGTATAAATAATGTCCATGACGGCTAATTAGCGCTAATCTCAGCCGTTTTGAGTTGAGACAATGACGACGTCTGAGGGTGACTCAAATTTTTGCCTGACAGAAAAGTCACGCGAGGAAAAAAAAAAATAATTTAAAACGTTCTGTGAAAACAAAATTTTTTAGGATGTGGGAGTTATAAAGGCCACCGAAAATT